CTGACGACTTCCCCCCCTCTTCCAGCACATCATTTCTCCCTCTCCTCGTCCTTTCCACCTCCTTGTAATTTCCTAGGGTGTGTTCTAATTTCTCTTCTTCCTCTTTACAGATTTTATCGTATTCTTTCTTCTTCTTGTCACTATTTATCCTTCTCTCTCTCCTAGTCTCCTTATTCCTACAACTGAATCTCGCCATTTTTTGAGTATTTTTCCTTCCCTCCCAAAGAATTTTGGTAACAACTCCGTTATTAGAACCTTGCAACTACTACTTCCTCGTGCGCTCTCTGTCTACACTCTCTATTTTTTTTGTATTTGTGCACCTAAATTATTTTTGCTATCTCATTTTCCATCCTTTCTACCATTCCTCTCCTCCTTTCGACATTAGCCCGTTCGTATCCATATTTTTCTCTTTTTCTTCCCACTTCTCTTCCACCTCTAATACACCTTTATAGTATCTTCTTTGTATTTCTTCTAGTTTATCCCATTCCTTCCACCCCCATATTTCTGGTATGTACATGTCTCCCAGTATGCATCGAACAGGTACTTTCTTGCTGTTAATTCATTCTTGAAACCCCTTCTCTCTTATTCCCCACACATATCTCATCGTCCCCCCCCCCTTTCCTTAGGTTTCTTATTTGTTTTTTGCATTCGATACCCTAAATATTTAATTTAAATTCTTTGCTCCCTTCTTTTTCCTTCCACCCCCTTTCCCAAAACTCATCTTCGACTTTTCTACATTTAGCTCCCTTCATTTTCCAATACCTCTCCATTCTTCAATTCGTTGCTCGGTTGTCAAGCGACCCATTGCGGAAACTAAAAAAAAATCGGAAAAAAGAATTATCGAGTGACTACATGAACCTATCGTCCTAACCTTAGCAACATGGCTGCCAACCGTCGTCGGGCAGAATTCCGCGAGGTTTAAATCTGACAGTAGAAAATTCGCTTCTTGAATGTTCCCCTCCACTGAGCTCTTGTTCCAAAGAAAATTCATTTCGAAAAAGCTCGACTTGAAAACTTAGCCCCCTCTCTTCAATAAACTTGCTATCATTTAAATTTGTTTATTTACCTCTAGAATATATCCATGTTCGCGTGAAGTAGGTCGCGAAAAATGGGCGGCTCAAACAAGACCTGGTTCCAAATTGGGTGCCGAAGAGAGAAAATATGATTCCACAAATTTTCTTAAACTAAAGTAGCATTATAGGGCAAATTTTAACTCAAAAAGTTACTAGAAAAGGTAACTAGGTTTGAAACCTAGTTTGAAACTCTGCTAGGACTCGCGCGTTAAATACGGTCAATTCTAAATCAAAAAGTCACTAGGTTTGTCACTAGAAAAGTAGCTTGATTTGAAACTCTGCTGCGTGCTTTCAAATATTTGGAACGCTGATTCTAACTCGAAAAGTCACTAGAAAATTCACTAGCAAAGTAACTAGGTTTGAAACTGCTAGGACCGGCGCGTTATATAAGGCCGATTCTCAGCCGATTCTATCAAAAAGTCGCTATGTTTGTCACTAAAAAAGTAACTAGGTTTGAAACTCTATTACGTGATTTCGAACCTTTGCTAGTCTGTTCTGCATTAGGGATTGTCAAAGTTAATGATTATCGATTTCGGGAGCACGAGTCATGGGTCAGTCGATGGTTCGGGGGAGGTTGATTACAAGTGCAGGACCGTTTTCGAAAGTGGGTCCCATTATGCAAGATTGAGGAACATTTAATGGTGAAGTACACAAAACGTTTAGGGATTTCTTTAACATTTTTTAGGTTATCTCGTGAGGTTGACCGTGATCATTCGGAATTGAATTTTTGAAAAACGGAAAGGGTACAATAGAAACTGGTAGATTAGGGGATTTATTCGAAGTCCGTACGGTGATTTCACGAGGTTGTCCGTAAAATTCGGATTTTCAGAAAACGGCGTGGGTACAATGGATACGAGATTTGGTACACTGAGGTAGTCACATCAAATTCAGAAGAAGGTACATTAATCGTTTGGAGATGTTTTCAACATTTCTGTGTTGTTATCGTGAAGTTAGCAGTGATTCTTCGGAAACGGATACCTTGAAAACGGTAAAGATACAGTGTAAAGATACACTGAGTGAGAAGTAAGTTGGACAAAAATGCCTTTCGGTTTCCTCTGCTGAAATCGGGAAAGATTTGGAAAAGACATTCATTATTCTTATTCAATGAGGGACACTGTCACCTCTGCTTAAATAAAGCAAAACAAAATAACAAAGAGGATAGGGATTAGGTGATAAGGTGCTGCAAACATTTATTAGGACCATCATTCTATACCATGCATTAACAAGAAATCAGATTGCAAAAACGTTTCTGTTGCGTTATTTTTGTTTTTGCTTTGGTTTGAGTAGATTAAACAATTCAAAATCACGTGAAGCGAATATCCCGTCACTATAAAAGTAGAAAATAAACTTTTTAGTGTATACTCGTGAGCGATTTTGCTTAAACGTAGCGTACGTTAATTAGATTATTTCCCTTACGCATTCGTAATTTCCTTCTTTTTTCGGTATTATATCAAACGTTCCCCAAATTCAATTAGCCGGCGCAAAAATGATACACTCGGCGAAACCACACGAAGCTGATTAAATTTATTTTCTCCACTTATATTTAGCAAAAAGAGAAATTCGCCTCGTAAATGACTGCAGACATTGGGAAAAAAACCTGAAATCGCAAATGGAATGGCGTATTTACTGGGGGATTTATAAGACTTGACACAAACACATCATCTAAATGTAATATCCGGACGAGATGCAGGTTTGCGTTTGGTGAAATAATATGCAGCAGTTGATTCTGAGCGAGGAATAAGACATTATTAACACCTCTCTGAAGTTCACAATGGAGCAGCACCGAAATGTTTGAATAATAAACGATCCCCTCGTTTTACGACTTGCGTTATGGTCAGTTAACATATCTTTAATAGCTGATTTGACCGTTAAGGGGTGGACGGACTGTGCCTTTTCCTTTCATACTGAGCAATTGTGACGTGACTTACCGCAAATATTACCGTTTTCGTACATTATTTCATTATCTGCCTTTATCTATCTGCCTCCGATATTGCATATATTTATTGTTTCCGCGTTATCTTAATTGTTAGAAATTTGCCCACGTACGTAACTAACGCCACCCTCTCTGCGCTGTCAATATTTTTTACTGCTTGATTTATACCTACCTACCTATACAGTAAAGTTAAACGGAATTTGTCAGGTATCTTTTCAAAAAGGACTAAATTATTGAAATTTATGACAGGTAACAGCTCTATTAACCATAACAACCTGCTGAGTCAAATTTGAATTTGGAAAACTGCCAATGGCTTCTAAATCTCGCTTGGATAATAGCAAACACAAGCTTGTGTTAAACAAGGAATAGTGCTTCTATTCAAATCCTGAAGGTATTTGAGTGTAATGCCACTTGAAAACTTTCTAAACAGGATTTACATCCCTACACATTTTTTTCTCTTCCATCTAGTTCATAAATCCAAAGTTACTGCTACGAGCTAATAAAAGAAGCTTGCGCAGTAACTATCCGAAGGACATTAAAATAAAAAGTGGGATATAAAGGAGGATCAAGATTTTTGTTTGTCGTTATATTTGCATGGAGACAAACATACATCTGCTCGGCCGAGTACAAAAGAAAATAGGAAGTCGACTAACAATGCCAAGTTTTTGGGATGTCGAGCACGTTAAATCAAGCCGACTAATACAAAGAATTGGGACACGTTAGAAATTCGCATTTAGTGATTGTGAAAGTAAATTTAAAACGTTTGAACCCTCTCTAATGTAGTTTTCCTCCCCTTTTTTTTCGTTTTTCTTCGCGTAATATATCGCCAGTTTATACTCGAGCTTAATTAAAACTTATGGAATTCCCTTGTGGTTTATGCGAGCGCTTTGTTAATTTTTAAAGGCGTCGTTCACATTTCAAATCGTGATATACTCGGAATTTTACAGTCGTGTAATGACGTCATTTTCGTGGGAAAAAACGTATGTCCTATTAAATTTATTTGTTGCTAAGTAACTGACTACTGGTGTCTAATTACCTGTATGACTTTTACTATACAGTGGTGTACATAATATTTTAGCATTTTTTGATAATAATTAAGTCAATTTCCACAAGAAATCTATAGGTCTTAATAAAAGAAGAAGTCCTAATTAACTGACTGACTGACTGAGATATCAACGCACAGCCTAAACGACTGAAGATATCGAAAATAAATTTTTAACATGTTAAAAAATGCGAATAGTTCATATTTTTTGCGAGCGAAACCGCGATGGATAAAATGTTAGTATTTCAAAAAAGGTCATTTACTCACTAATTATTTTAATAACTTGCTCAACTAACATATAAGTAATATTAACATATTTTTGTTTTTAAATAAATAAAGATTAACAAAACGAAAATCACAGAATATTATTTAGGAATCAATACTCCCGAAAAGACCCAAAAAATAATTAGCAGAGGAGTACATAAAAATTCAAAGAACCACTATCGAAACCACATCTACACAAGAAAAAATTGCACTACCTTGATGAATAGTTGGAAAATCAAAATCGTAAAACAAAAATATACCAATGCCAATTTATTGCGATTGTAATGGTCACAGTATTAGAAGAAAATTAGTCGCCCTCGTCCGTATCGTCAGAGTCAAAATCAAAGTATTCGTCGTCAGTAAGGTCGTCATCTGCGTCTGTAGTGATAACAAGAGGTGGGATGTCAGAAGCATCACAAACTTGTACTGCTCCCCAAGCCTCTTGTATTACTTTGTCCGTATGGTTTACGTATTTCTCCCAATTATCCCTAGAAATCTCCCCGATAACCCTTTCCCATGTTGCCAAAACCTCTTGTGGTGATCCCTTAAAATTTGCAATGTACTGATCGTATTTTCGTTTACACTGAGACCACACCATTTCAATCGCATTAAATTGGCAGTGGTATGGCGGTAACCGTAAAATTTTATGTCCTAAAGGCTTAACATATTCATCAAGGTAGTACTTTTTCTATTTGGGGCAGTTTGCGCTGACAATGCTCCATATTTGATCCTTCATTGCCTTTTCTGGATAGCCGATATTTTTTTCCCCTAACCATTCTATCATTCTTTGTTTTGTCCATGATTTGGTGGGAATTTTCTCTAAAAGGCCAGAATGGTAGCTTGCGTTGTCCATAATAATTAAAGATTTTTCAGGAAGATTTGGCACCAGTTGAGTCTTGAACCAATTTTCAAAATTACCCCTGTTCATATTATCATGATAGTCCCCTGTTTTTTTTCCACTTTTAAAAATCAAACTTGCCCCACCAATAAAGCCATCGTTCGTCCCAGCGTGGACAATAATGTATCGATGACCTAAAGAATATCTCTTTTAATAATATTGAAAAGGTATTATAATATCTTATTTTACCTTCATTGGGTTTAATTGATTCCGTGTGCTTAGTATCATCTTGCCAGCTGTTTCGAAATGATCCCTTACTAAATATCCAGGTTTCATCCATAAAAACCGGAGTATAACCCTCATGTCCCAAATTTTTGTTTTCAATGTACTCCCTTAAGAATTTTATTCGTTTGTGGACAATATCCGGTAAATCCATAAGATATTTTCTGTTATTGGACTTCTTCCATTTAAAACCCATACTTTTGATCCACTTTCTCAATGAATCAATGGAAAATTGAAAATATTCGTTTTGCTCCAGAAATTTTTGTCTAATAGTTGCCAGTGTAACATATTCCTTTTGGGAGTACATATAATAGATTGTATCCCGAATTTTATTCTTCAAATATTCTGTGATTTTCGTCTTGTTAATCTTTTGCTTGGTAGAGACATTAGATGCGTAATCTTTGTCGGATTTTACACCATTTTTTCTCAAATTTGAAATGGTTGTTGGGCTGACTTTCGTTGCTTGTGCAGTTCGCTGTATAACATTGTTGATGTCTAGTGGTATGCCATTCCGAACTTGTTCCTGTTCAATTTGAAAGAAAGCCAACACATTTAGAATTATTAACTGTGTTTGTTCGTTAAATCGATGAGGGTTTTTTGGCGGCATGTTTTGACGCTTTGGCGTTTTCAAAACTTCAAAACTGACAATCATTTGACAAGCATTTCAGGTAAAATTTAGCCACGACAACAACATTTCGGCAAAATTTTTTGTCATTGTCATTTTACATTAGTTAAACAAGGATAGACAAAAATGACGTCATTACAAGACTGTAAAATTCCGAGTTTAATACGTCTTGGCAAAATTTATTTGCAAAAGTCTGCAAATTATATTTTGCGAATTATTTTTAAAAGAACGAATAATGATTTGGATTTTGGCGTGAATTTTGTAATACCACCCGGGCTTTGGACCAGGGCTGACTGCAACGGAGGAGCGCCCTAGCTAGGGTTGTGCATTTTCGCGCCCCATTCTTTTGACTTGTTCTGATTTGAAGCCCTCATTCCCATGCTCATATTTCGACTAATTAAATTTTTATTAATTTTTATTTAATTTTTATTCTTATTCTAGCTACTACTCGTAGTTTTAAACATGGACTTTCGTTTTAAGATCACAAGGCATTGGTCTGTCCCATTCGAGATGAAATTGATATTAGTGAAAGGACTAACGATCCTCGAGAAGCACCAGATACTCGAGTGTCTTTGAAAAGCTGATTTTGTGATGATGTTGAATTGACCCATAATTTATTCCAAAGAACCCAAGAACTAACAACTAATGAGATTCACAATACTACATAAAAGTACATTTGGTTGCTTTGGACATACATTTTCAAATTTAAAATTGCACATATCTTTACGTAACTGAGGGGGGATCTGACTGTTTTCTTAAGCGTTTTTAAAGAACTGAGCAGAAGAGCTTTTCACGTAAAATAAGTTTCCTTTGGAGACTGATTTTAGTGCAATTTTTTTATACAGATATGCTAAATTGCTAATGATGCTATTTATGACACTGCGGTACTTGCGTTGGATATTATTACGCCAGTACTCGCGTGGGGTACTTTGGGGTACTAAAGTACCCCACTGTTACAATGCCGAAATAAAGTAACGTAAAGGGTGTATTGTAACAAAATAAACGTATTTATGTCTTAATTGCAATTAACAGAATGCACACGTGTAATATTATACGTAAAATATTAAATATATTTGTAAAAGTCAATCAGATTTTAAAAGTGTATCATTTTCCTCGCCTATGGCTTTGAAATGGATTATTTTTTATGCTCCTTGCACGTTCATTTTGAGAACTTATTACATACAAAGAGAAGCACTCTAAGACAGTATGGGCAAAGCGGTCTTTGGTACGGACATTTTTTGCGGTACCTACTGGTCCTGGAGCTTTCAGTACTATACCATGTGCTCTCCTTTTTGATACAAGTGCTTGTATCTTGCTCCATTTCGCACTGTTATGTTTTCGTAAAATATGTGGATTTGCACTATCACACTTCACAGATGTCTGGTCGAAAATAGCCAACTCCGGAAGATTGAACTCATCTCCACTTCCAAAATATGACACTCAAAAAAGGCAGTGGGGTACTTAAATTAATTTTATATAATTAGGTACTTTCAAGGTTCAAGTTGCTTCCACGGTCGCTTTTAACCACCACAGGCTCAGTAAATATTCGATTATCAGGAGAACTTTGACGCTCTTTTCATTATTGTATTCAGATACAAAACAATAAAAGACACTGGGGATTTTTGATACAACATTTCGTTTCGGAGAAATCATCATCAACCTCATTTTTTATATAAACCGTAAACCCGTGCGCAAAGCTCTAATCATGCGTTAATATCTATCGGAGAAATTGTCCATTTTCCAGGAAATTTGTCCGGGATAGGTATTCTGATCCGATTAGGGCGTTGTGCGCGGGTACACCATCCTGTTGAACCGACCAGAGTTTCCAACATTTGTTTTTTTTCGTCGTACAGCGTTGTTAATACAAAATGCTACTCAGTACAGTATGTACTTTTTTACGGGCCATGTAAAAAATAAAGTTAATAATGATCTCTCCGAAACGAAACGTTGTATTGAAAATTTCTCAACGCTATTTTATAGAGCTCAAAAAGTGGGAGAGTGTCTTTTATTTTTTTGTATCGGTTCAAATAACACCAGGAAAAAACAAAAACAAAATCGGCAAATTTCGGTTTTTCTGGTATCTCTTCGGAAGTAATCGGAATTTTCTGGTTTTCTTTACAGCATGATAATTACTGTTTAATTGCGCAATTTTATCATCTTCGTACCTTCAATGTGTCTCTGTGTGTCCACGGATGGTTTAGATTTACAATTGGGCCCGATCAGATTATAGGATTTTTTTAGAAACTTCTTTTTTCGTTGATATCGCACTCGGTTCTTTCACGTACCGATCGACATGCGTCAAGGAACATCCTGTATTACTTATTTTGATTGTTGACTCAGTTGTAACCATTTTTTGTTAACAATATGTTATACCTAAATTCGAGTTTCCTAGAAATCGGCGTTTAAAGTATAACGGATAAAAATGCGAGATTTGAACATTGTCGTATTTACGAGCAACAAATAATTTGTATGTGTGAGTTAGTAAATGGAGGTCACTTTCAACACTTGTTAAGAAATAGAGCATTTTTGCCATGATTTGTTATAGGTTTTTGTTTAAAGTTTGTTTGTTTCTTAAAATTTCCTTTGTGTTTTGTAACTGATCAAATATCATGATATCCTCCTAGTTTCCGAACTAATACTATAACACATGGTTAATAAAAGAATGCTTAAAATTGAGTCGACAATCAAAATAAGTAATTTATTTATTTATTTTTGCCTTTATTTTTGAGTGGGCGGGGTTTTAGCCAAGGCTGGTCTACCAACCCAACCCACTATACATTTATAAATCCATGCCCGAACCCGGATTCGAACCAGGGACCCTTAGTAGGTACCGCAGTCCATCTTCAACTGAACTGCGTCACACGTAATAATATACAGGGTGTTGCATTCTTAAAAATACTTTGTGGGCGACCCTGTATATTTCAATTTATCACAGATATGTAGATTTTAAACAGCCCTAGTTTATACAAACTATAAGTTTCCTGTGCGACTCTTTTCCGAGATCAGTAGGTGGCCGGGGGAGGAGGGAGGGGGTAGTTTATCTTTCATGGTATTCCAATTAAAGATCTCAACAAAAAGAACGGTTTTCTACCAACTGCCTCTCTACTTTGTGACTCCCTATCAAAAGAGAGAAATCGGGGGTGGGATTGGAGGAGGAGGGTGGGGGACTGGTTTCATCCTCCAAGGTACTCTAATGAAAGGTGAAAGGTCTCAACAACAGGAATTAATTTCTACCAACCATAGCGTCCTCCTAGACTCCTTATCGACTTTAACAGCAAAGATCTCGAAAACGCTTTGTTGGAAGAAAGTACCCACAAGAAAAGGCAAAATGAATTGTTTGGATGAGACATATGTATTGGTGGAGTACTGGAGTCTCCCCATTAATCATCTCACAAAAAAGAAAACATCGATAAATATAACCTTATAACGCAACCCTTTACTAAGCTATTTTGGTCCTAACCCTGTATACTCGTCAATATTGAGCGTACGAAGGTAATTATCGTTGTTAACATTATCAACTTACATGAAAAATTTAAAAAATATAAAAAGCCCAAAAAAACAGTGGAAGATACAGTGACAGGTAATACATTTACCTTTCATGAGAAATATAAAACCAAACACAACATGACCCAAAAAGCCAAAAAAATTGTCATTTGATCGTGTATTTCAGGCTTATTTATTACCTTTTTTTAATATTAGCTCCTCAACCTGCTATAACTACATTAAAAATCAAAGGAATGTCAAATTTACAATTCAGCATATAGTTCTCGCCAATATTATTAATACTGTTGAGTAAACAACGTAATGTAGACGTTATTTCGGCATAAAGACCAAAGATAACAAAGGGAAACAACAAGGTTGGTTTATTCTACTTGAATTTGTTATCTCAGTGTCTACTTTTTTCTTTTAGAATTGTTTGTAATTGCTTAATAGGTTCTTGTTTAAATTTGCTTTACAAAAAGTTGCATCTAGTCGTTTGCGATATGGTGTTCTTATCGGACGGAACTTATTTAACGCACCTGACTGAATGCGCGCTCCTAGTGTGTTGGGAGTAATTGGCCTTTTCACTCTTGCTTTTGTCGTGGTAATGACGGGTCTATCTTTGCGAAGAATTTCGATTTGAATTGGAGAATACCAAAGTCATCACGATAAAATTGTTTAAACTATTTATCTAAGCGTCTTCATGCGAATGGGGTAGGCGATAATCCTCTTGAGGTTATCCCATATGTATTAATTTAATTACCTATCTTTGTTTGTCCGCCCGTCTGTGTGTATTCGTCTGAGTTAAGAACCACAGATACTTTTTTTAGCTTTTAATTTTTATCTGTCCGCCCGTCCGTGTGCTCTATAACTCTTTTTAAAAGTGATCGTTGAAATTTGGTGTACGCTCACACGTTTCGGCAGCTTCTTTGCGGATTGTGGAACAGCAAGTAGATCTTGTGTTATCACAGATCAGTTTTTTCGCGTTCTTCAGTCAATACGATAAATGGTTTTCGTGGTTCATCGATACCGTTTCCTATTGTATTAATTTAATCTTGGACACCCTGTATTTCATCTTTAATTATACCCCTTAGATACAAGCTGTTTCACCCAAACCGTTACCTAAAAGTATTCAAACTCCCATTAATAATTTAAATCTGCAAATTTGCATACCAACATAGTTTTTTATGCTCTATCGAAGGAAAATATTACCGTGAGTGATCGTTTCACTTCTGATACAACCCGCAACTTTCTTATTTTGATTTAATTACGTGGTTTTATTTATTTCAACTAAATAACTAACAATAAATTTATAACAGTCTCAAAATGGATTAACTTATAACAGTATTTATTATTTAGCACTTACAATTTATAACATAACACAAGCGCAGGAACTGAACTGCAAAATGCTACAATTTCCTTATTAAGTAAGTAAACGACAATTGTTCTAGAATGTTCTTAGAACGCTTCGGAATGTTCTAGAATAAACACGGCATTTTCCCTGAAAGATTGCGTCACATCCGCTTTCGCTCTTTATCGTCGATGACTAATCTTTCATGGCGCCTCGATGTCTACCGGGATTTCTGGAATATTCGCTACTATATACTTATATTCAAAGATCGAGTTACTACTTGAAAACCAATTCGTGTTCCCTAGCTATCGGCAGAATGTTCGAGAAAATGTTGCTAAAATAATAAGACCTGGGGACCACCACCGCAGGGTGCGTTATAAGGTACATTGCCACGTAATTTAACAATAATAGGTTGGGGTTGATGGTATTTGTTTCGTGTTTGTCTTTCAAATGGAAATGCTTGGATGCGAACCTAGTTCTAAAGAGGATAGTGATCAAGCAAATAATCCTTTTCATAACAATTTTGCAAAAGCATTTGGGAATAATCTGATTCCAAAACGGGTTTATAATGCCACACTATTAATTTTTACGGTTCCCGTTATCAGAAAACCCAAACTTGTTCATTATGCGATAGATTGGGCGGATCTCGGCGGTGGTGTTACACTATATTTCTCCAATAATGTGACTTTTAGTAGCGCTTTAAGAGTAAACCCGGTGTTAAACGAGCCTATGCACGTCAAGTGGTAAAATATACGTATTCAGTCAAAAAAATGGCCGCGTTGTGCCTCACCCGAAGTTTGCAAGTAAATTAAGATTAATGTTATTAAGGAAATAAAATTTCAAATCAAATCTCTAAAGTGTGTAGACACGAACATCGTGGAAGAGAGAATGAAAAGTAATTTTGTTTTAGAAATTGGAATAAAATTGTTTTAGCTTTACCGTTACAAACCAGCTTTAAATTTTTTGCATTCCAATTACTCATTCTTTCATTGTTAGTCCGTACAATACTTAAAAATATTATTAAGTTCAAGTCCTCTTTATGTAAATCATTTCAAAAACGAAGTACGCCCCCCGCGGACATAATCACCGCGTTGCGTTTGTTTGGGAGCGGTTCCTGCCAAAGTTTCGGGGGAAAGATTTCGTGCGCGCGGCGGTCATTTTTTTTCCCTCTTCGCATCAGAATCATGACAATTACAACGACAAGCGCTCGCTGGAATCTTGAAGGAGTTGCGTTATAAGGGTTCTAAATTGTGTATACACGAAGGGGCAAGGTGGACATGTGCTGGGAACACCTGGCCCGGCAGCTGCTGCGGGGCCCCAGCAGTCGTAGCAGCCGGCACGCGGGCTTTTCTGTAACAAAGAATTAAGGCCTACCGAGGCCCAAGCGCTCCAGTCACCTTTTCTTCATTTCACCTTCTATTAGAAGTTTCTAAGGGACGCAATCCAGGTGTCCTTACGCTCTTATGCATCTTAGAAAAAAAATCTTTTTAATTCAATTGTACTCGCACATTAACAAAGTTATTTGCTTGGAGTTCTCTTAAGATGATCCGAAGTCAGATGGTTCTACCTACGTTTTTGTTGTGACGCGTATGAAGAGCACATTCGAGTTTCCTGCAGTTACCGGATATCGGTATCGGTTTACGAATACATACTTTATCCTTTTCGTGATCTCGCACTAGCAAAAAGGATCAAGGGGGTGAGATTCTCTTCGGCTGTACGGGTTGTTTAATTGAATCACGAACGCATGCTTGATTTGTGAAACAGTGTAACGTGTATTGGGCTAATTGTGATTCAATATTCACCCCTCGAAATCAATACCAGCAGGATTTCTATGTCGTTGCAGATGTACAAGTGTATTTAAGATGATTCATCCAATTGAAGAACTACTTTTTTACGTTCGTATTTGCATCTCCACCACTAAATTACAGGGTGTCCATTTGAACGCGTGTGATTTGCTTAAACGACAACTATGTCCAATGAAAATCTAGCTCTTCTTACAAAAATGACCAAATTCAAACTGCACACAGGGCAGGTTATTAATGACGTACTCTTCTTTCGAAACATATACAGTACCTAACAAAGTGGTTTTGAATTAAAAGGGTGATTTTAGAACAGGCCAATAGGAAGCTTGTGAACAATGACCAACTTCGTATGTACAGACAAATTATATGGAAGCATTGAGTAATCACTCAACGGTGGAAACCAAAAATAAAACAAAAAAAATTTGAATGTGGTTCACAAATAGATCATATCACACTGTACATTCAAAAGTTTTGCGCGTAATGACTTTAATTCATAGGTGTTGACAACTGTATGAATAGGTATTTGCAGGGCCGGATTTACATATTTTGCGCCTAGGGGCCCCTCGAAATCGCCGCCTCCCCCCTAACCAAAATTTTTTCTAAAAATATGCAATATTTTTAATTCTTACGTAAAAGTGTATAATACTATTTTGCTTAGGTTGATTTAATTAGTGATAAAAACATTTTTTATAATATTAATAATGAGATTTATTATAATATCTGCATAGTTTGAATTACAAACAAACAGTCCCTCTTTAGAAAAATATTCTCCTTTTTAGCGAATTTTTGCAAATTTATCCGTAAAAAGGTCACTTTTTATTTTACTTTGGATGGCTGGCTGGCTGACGGCAGCAAATGAAGGCCCGTAGAAAACGCTTGTAGAGAAACGAGGAGTCTACGTGTATCTGTCCGGACCGTGTGATTAACAACTTGAGAGACGCGGCCATATCATTTGAGGTCGGCGACATCTCGGCGCCATCGCCGAGCGTGGGTTTCCCAACGTGCTGATTTTTCAGTTTGTTTCTATCTTTTTCTACAGTTTTGGTACCATTGCTTTCAAATTGGTGTCGTCGGAAAGATCTTCTAAATGCGCGTGACGGATTTTTGTTTTTTCTTCGTATGGGCGAAATTATATAGTAACATTTTGCAAGGTGCGCATCTTCTAGGTAGCAGACTTCGGGCGCCCAAAACAGTTTCGTATAGCTCGAATCGCGGTCTCTCTTTCTCGTGTCTCCAGTTATAAGAAGTGCCCCAAAAATTAAGTACTGTTTTACGGAGGGTTTTTAGCGTGGAATATGGAAGCTCCATCTTATACTTATACTTATACTTATGATGGAGTCAACATTTTTAACGCAAATTGGTGGGGTGGTGGGTGAACGGTAAACTGGAATTGAGTTTTCAATTTGTTCTAGATAATAGTAATGTAGAATGATATCCCAAATTTAGTTTTTTTGCCGCCCCTAAAAATTCGCCGCTATGGGCCCGGGTCCACATGGCCTCATGCTAAATCCGGCCCTGGGCATTTGAACGAGAACGGTCGTCTTTATTGAATCCCTGTTATCTCTAAATGGCGAGAACATCCACTAAAAGATAGCACACAAAACGAGTACAAAATGATTTTACTACTTCCCTTACGTATGCTAAATTGCATAAGCATTGTGCCCGAGATAAGGAGGGCCACTATGGACATTCTTGAAAGGGGAAAAATTACAAATTTGTTTAAATGGAGGAATAGTTACGCAATCAATTCTAAGAAGATGACGTTTAGATATCCCTGAAACTTTTTTTTGGTTTTTGAAATATTTTGAAAAAATCGGATTTTTTGAATATTACTATTTCTTTCTGGAGTTAGTACTAATTTTCGTTCTTAGCGTTCAATTATCTCCTTAGTGATTAATAAACAGCGCCCATTACCTACAGCCAAGATTAAGATGGCAGAACGACTAGCAACAGCGCCCAAACAGGATAATCGAAGAAGTGCGCACAAACGAGTACATCATAGAGTGCGTCAGGATAAATACGGACGAGGAGTGTCTGTTTGGAGCGATTGGGTGCCAATTTATGGGATTCTCGGTGTCATCAGAACCACACCAGAGATTATAACCAAAAGGATTAGATTAGGGAAGAAACCAACAATACATCAGGCAGAACCTGGAAGAATTATATCCACAATTCATAGGGAACGTAGTGGAATTAGGATCCCAGTACAGAAAGCAACGATTCTGGGGAGGATACTGGTGACTGGTGGCAATGGCCAACACATGCAACACTCAGATAGTGGTCTACGAAGAAGAAGGGGGGAAACTAATCATAGAACCGTGAGCAATAACGGGGACTACAGTACAGGTCATTGCTACATAACATACAGACTAGGGACTAGGGGGTAACAATGTCCGGGGCGAGGAGGAACGGAAAAAACCAGGATAGCAGCCAGGATGCAGACAGGGACAACATCATGATGGTAGCCACGTGGAACGTACAAGGGGCAAACGACCTAAAGAAAAGGAAGCTAATTGACGAGGAATTAAAAAAGAGGGAAGCCAGCCTACAGGAAACCAGAGTAACAAGTGGGATGGCCGCGACAAGGAACCACGACTGGTGGTTAGGAGGAGGGAGGAAGGAGAGAACCAGCAGAGGCATAGTAATCGGCCCAAATCACGATGAGGATAAGAATATTATGTTATCAAAAATCTCTAAACCTTCCCCATATAGTTTTATTCGTTGAAGTTTTTAAAAATAACAGCGACTATAGTTTCGGCGTACTGCCATCATCAGGCGACTATAGAAGTGTATCACAATATAGCAAATTTGAAAACATTAAGAGCTAGTACTTACTGTGAAAGTTAACAGGAAAACGGTAAATTACAAACGTTGAAGACGGATAAGACGAACATGTTGTTTTTTTAATTATTAACTGGCCGAAGCCAAGTGAAAAACCTGAAGGGTGGTTAAAACGGAAAGGTTGTCCTAAGTTTCAAGACGAATTAATTATCAAGCCTTGTCTTGAAACTTAGGACAACCTTTCCGTTTTAACCACCCTTCAGGTTTTTCACTTGGCTTCGGCCAGTTAATAATTAAAAACAACATGTTCGTCTTATCCGTCTTCAACGTTTGTAATTTACCGTTTTCCTGTTAACTTTCACATCGCCTGATGATGGCAGTACGCCGAAACTATAGTCGCTGTTATTTTTAAAAACTTCAACGAATAAAACTATATGGGGAAGGTTTAGAGATTTTTGATAACATAATATATTTCAACCCCCATTTCGAGGAACGATGGATCCAACTCAAAAAAAAAAAAAAAAAAAAGAGGATAAGAATACTAACGGTTATAGGATGCCACATCCCCTCGGACAAAAGAGGACAAGCTAAACTCAGGAATTTTAGCGAAATAATGGAGCAAAGGAGCGGAAGATACACGGACATCATATTCGGTAACTTTATTCCGAGACACATTAAAATTCTTGGATTAAAGAGAAGCACGTGGAAGTTCGTCAACTAAAATAAGAAAATTTTGAATTTACTTACGAGTACAGTTTTCCTTTTTTAAATAATAATCCAGACCATCTAGTCGGGAATGGTTTGCGATATTTAAGCGCACTTATCAAAGACACACAAAATACTCGTTGCCAGCTTTAGTAAACTTCACTTTGTCTTTAATAAACTGGACTCTAACTCGAACTAGCTTGATAAACAAGATGAAAAAGGTTCTCGGCGACTACTCCGACGGTCGAAACTTTTAACTTTCACTAAGACAACTGCATTTCATATTTCATATATTTCATATTTTTTTTATTTGTGTTGAATATACATAAAGTATTTACACACGTCATAATAAGCAAGAAATAACAATCAGATATAACACACTTAAACAAAACATTTAGACTCTAAAAATTCTCTGGTAGAGAAGAATGCTTTTCCGATTAGCCACTTCTTTACTGCACGTTTGAAGTTATCATACTTCAGAGTTATTTTGTCGGGAAGATGATTATAATAATTAATAGATTGCCGACAATGACTGTTTAGGGTTACGCCCGATAACAACCAAAATTTAAACAAAAAAATTATACTATTACAAACACTTTCAAAAAGAAACAAATACGGAAATATTTCCTGTTAATCAGCTTGAAATATTTCTCATACGAAGGGTGTTCTGTCATTATTTTTGGTTTTTAAACCGAAATAATGTCTACATAATGTCTACATGACGTTGTTTACACAACAACCTTGATGATTAATTAATGCGCACATGCGCAGATTACCCAATGTCAACTTTATTATTTATGGAGATATTTTTTGAAATTTTAACCAAAGATTCTTCTAGTAAAGGCAAACATATCGCATATTTGAAACATCAGACTGCGCAATGCTAAGTTTCTTATTTATAATAACACATAAATAGTCCGTTACATGACCTTTCGGGAAGTACTGACCAATTCATGGAAAATGCGCTAAAGTTACTCGCATTAAGGAGAAAATCTTTTTTATTTCCCGTAAGTTGGAGCCAGTATCAATTTTAACAATATTACAAGTTTTTTTGTTGCTGTTTGATTTCGTTTTTTTAAGTTAAAAAAGTTAAAAAAATAGAATTTGATCTAATTTAATTAATGATTTGAAGTTCGCATAGTCGCCTGAACACCTACCTACAGTCCCATAGAGGAGGGCGCATGTCTGCCATAATCAGGACACCTCTATGCGATCAGTCATATACAAGTTCGTTTGGATTAGAGTATAACATTGTAAATTCAAAGTACTAACACCATATAAAGCTCTGTTTCGGTATCGAATTTATTAAAAAGTGATTGTTTGTCTTTATGGATTAAAATAAGTGAATCAAAATCCGTACACTTTTCTAAAATCGAACGCCAAAAATGTTGACCTCTACCTCCCAACATACTACACTCTGTACATTTTAAGAAGGTAGTGGTAGAATAGAGAAGCTTTGACCTTCACTGTGATTGGTTAAAGCACGAGGTCAATTTTACGCTGTAAAGTAAAACGAGTGACGAATTTTGTAAGATGGTATTTTCTGGTTGTAACTTAACTGTCGAACTGTCATTAACTGTTAATGTCAAACATCCAAGCGTGAAATTGTTTGATTTATTTCTACTTTACAATAATTTGGTGCCGTTTTATATTTTTCCTGTGTGTGTTTATCTTCAAACACAGCGCCATCTACTACCTTCTTATAATGAATGCAGTATAGTCTTCATACAGGGTTGATTGCTTACATCGGGTTTACCTATAGTGACGTTTTATTATTTTAATGGGATATTATGGGGTCATTATCATAGTGTGTATAAAATCTAAAAAAAAAACTAAAGTGTTGATTGTCCTGTGATGCAATTTAGAATGATAGGGATTGTGCTTGGAATGATAATACCAGCAAGGGGGTTTTACTGTAAACTTCAAACCAAAAATGGGCGTGCCAAGTAATTTTCTGTTTTTGGACGTTAATTTTCCATTGTACGAATGGGAGAATTTATTTTGATACTAGGATTTCGTGACCGAATCTTTTTGGCCACGTCGTTTCGGATCTATTTCCTTAATATTCCTGCGCGGAGTCAAGAATCTAAGATGAAGTTTGGTATGTGATATGATATGTTTGGATAAAATTGGATTAATGAATTCTTTTTTGGAGATGATTTTGAGATGAATTTTCGTAGACGTGGAGCTCATGCACTGAATTCTATTAGGGAGGGAATAGTCCGAGCGAATCTTCCAGCGGTGGGAATTGCGATAAGCTTTCTTGTAAATTAATTGTCCAGTTCCACACATCCGCATGTATTGTGAATGTAGAAACAAACGCCTAAATTATTAATGAGTATCTCGATACAATTTCGTGATTTGCCCAATTCAGGAGCACTGACCTTATACCACACAGTCATAATAAAATCTGCGAACTTCGATTGTCATACCGCGAGTAGGTACTTTATAATGTAAAACAGCCACGCGATAACATCAAATAAAACTTAAATTTGATAGTTATCGTCGGGCAACCCCTTATAGTGCTAGGGGTGTTAAGTACACCAAAGCAAAAAGAATGTGGTTAGTGTACTTACAGTAATTAAAGAACGTTTTTAAAGGCGCCAGAATGGGACGGCGACTAAAGGTATGATATAATAATGGCTTCACCTTGAGCAGATGTTCCAATCTAAAGCAGATGCACTACGCACGAGGATAAACAGAAGTCACTGGCTATTCGCCTAATTGAATTATAAATTATAAAACAAGCATGACTTACATGCACTACCTACAAATCAAAAGCACAAAGAGATTTAATAAGGAATTTAAACAGGATAACAAAAGCTGGAAAATTAATAAAACTTATTTCAAGATATTATAATGGGGTTTCCATTTGCATCCCGGAATAATTCAGTGTAATTTGTACGAAGAATCAAGAAAATAATAATAATTAATTATGATGCAAGGGCTCAAAGATTAACAGTAATTACGGCACGCAGTTTCAAGTTTACCGACGTAAGAGTCGCATAAATTAAATTGCGAATGTTTTAGGGGGGTATTTTGGTTAATTAACAAGCGATATAAGTTAATGCCGGGATGTTGTTAATGGTGTGTCTTTGGGAATGTTAACCAAGAATAACAAAAGAAGAAGGTTGCGTATTATAAAATACGCGCACCAATGAATTATGCATTCCTCAAATATGTATCCTCTGAAAATGTTTATTTAGGATTGTGTGGGGGTTTTGGTCTAACAGAGGTGAGTTTAATGCAGCTGTTAAAGCTACCAAATTTCATTAACAAAATATTCTCCCGCTTTAAGAACGCATAAACTTTATAATCAATTTAGCCCTACTTATTTTAGGTAGGTGTCGTACGACCTAATAAATAAACCGGCGATTAGGCAAAATTCGAGCCGAGAGGGTGTGATAAGTGCTTTATTTTGCACGTGTGCGTTTATTAATGTTTAAGATTAAAAAGAATTACGGCCGTTTGTCTCTGTTTACTGATTAGTTTATTTCGCGAGCGGATGTTGATAGTGATAAGCTTCCGCAATCCCTTTTCTTTTCGGGTTGAGTTTGATAAATTACTGAGAACTTTGGTGTTACTTATAAGCTAGATTTATTATGACGTCAAAATCTTACGATGTGGTGCCCCCTCTTTTTATTCCACAGAATACGATAATTTCGAAAGTATTAACATCATCTTACTTTGTAGAATCGTTCACAAATTTCAGCAATTTTAATGCTTTCGAATGAAATACTTTTTATTTTCACCACTCGTACTGAAAAGCAACGTAAATTATTACTATCGTGTGTATTTGATATTCTTACGCCATCCATCTAGGTATTTCCTTTATAATCCAGTAGTATAAATGGACACTATTCTTTTGTATAGTTCTTTTACCTAGTTCTTTGTTTTTGCCACTAGAGGCCATCAAAATGTTATAGATTTGTAATTACTACTTCTGTGTTTTACCGCCCAAGGTCGTGCAGAGGTTTTCTTAAATTTTTTCGGCACACAACTCTTTCTCTTTGTACAAAACCAAATTCAACGATCACTGTAAGAAGAACGTACACGCCATATTGGTTACTCGACATTCTTGTCTACCTGTTAGAATGGATTTATATGGCTGTATAAGTTCGGTGAAGTTTTTTTCTTGTGATTTTACTTT